ACCGTACACTTATCATGCAGTTTGTTCAAAGTGAAGTTTCAAGTTTATTAAGATGGAGAAAACGTCCCTCTGCACTTGCTTCAAATGTCAAATTGACGATCTAAATTATTAATTTAAACATCATTTTAAATTATGCCTTAAAGTAGAGCTAGCAACATAAATAAATATTAAAGTAGAGCTAGCAACATAAATAAATATTTTTAAACAAATAAATATATATTAACTCACCCCCGGCGGTGCGGCAATTCAGTTGAAATAATACAGACTTTAAAAGTAAAATAAGCAACATAAATAAATATTTTTAAACAAATAAATATATATTTACTCACCGCCAGCGGTGCGGCAATTCAGTTGAAATAATACAGACTTTAAAAGTAAAATAAACAACATAAATAAATATTTTTAGACAAATAAATATATATTTTCTCACCCCCGGCGGTGCGGCATATGAGCCTCAGAGGCTGGTGGAGTGAGGCCTCCACCGTGCGGTCCATCAGAGAGGGACTCGTGCTGCCCACGGGCGGGCTGGCCCGCACCACCTCTATGTCCTTGATCTCCGTCACCACCACAGCCTTAAAGGAACAATATAACCATGGTTGAATTAAAATTAATTCAACCATGAACATAACGTCTAGGATTACTTAATTAATTTACGTATTCTTTTAGTTTTTTTCACATCTTCCAACATTCTTTTGACCATATAATTTTTTTAAACTCTCTAATTTTATTTCGGAGTTTTAGTTTTCTTCTGACGTACAATTTTTTAAGACCATTTATATAAAAATATGATACATAAAAGCACTACTCATGTTTCCTCAATTTTTGTGACCGCTTTATCCTTCTATGATTACTAAAAAGGAACTGTATTCAACGTGTCACATAACATGATATTCTGCAGAGCTCAAAAATGCTCTTTGATTTTTGGTTTGCTCAAATAAAATATTTAATATGTTCTCCATTACCGCTTTATTCGCTAAATGGATCTTCACTATTGAATTTAACCGGTCAAAGGTAAACGTTATACTCTAAAGTTAATTTGTAAATTTTTTAATTCCATAACTTTCCCACTGCTGTACCTGAATTTTTGTTGTCCTGGACGGAGCCTGAGTGAAGTCAACGCGGCACTGATATATTCCAGAGTCTTCAGGCAGAGCTCCAGTAATGGTTAACGCAGCTGGAGGCTTGTGGTAAAAAGAGGCTCTGGAAGCGAGGTCTGGACCCCGAGGTGTGTGTTGCTGGAACCCCAGCGATTCATTTCGAGCATCGTACCTGAGGGGTTCATTATAGATGCCATAGCAAGAAGAGTCTTGTCATAAATTGCCGAAATTATCAGCGACCGGAATGATTTTCAGTGAGCTGAGAAGGTTGCTATGACCTGAGAAATTGGCCAATTGAGGCGGAAGACTTTTTTATGAGCAGCAGCACTAATTTTTTTTGTAGAAGCAAGTAAGCCATTACAAATAAAATTGTAATAATGTTTTAGCTCTATTTCAATAAGAATATCCATCTGAAAATAATATGAAAGGTGTGATGAAAGCCGTTTAAATTTTAAACGATTGTTAGGAAGCGATTAATGCATTGTCAGTAGGAGCATTTTCTCGGAAATTTCTTGATAATTAATATAATATATCACTAAATAAAGCAGTTTGCATTCATGAACAAAAACCAACACCCAGTCGTAGGCTCAAGAATACCAAAACTTGACAACTTTCCATGAGCTTTATATGCAGTCAATTTTATGCGGTTCATTATAAATTTACTTCACATTTTATTTTTATTACCCTAAAAATTGTAGTCACGAGTTTAGTCAGTATTCTTTGACAAAATTTTTGCCAATGTTAATAGTTAACTTCTGTGTAATTGTCATCATAAATTAATTATTCACAGAATTGTTCACATGGTAATTAAATAATTCGTCACAAATATATGCATTCGTTACCCATAGCTATATCAGAATTATTGACTAAGTACGATTTTTCGTTGTACAAACAAAAAGGACTGAATTAGGTCCTGAAATACGCACGTATAAATCGCTGTGGGAGTTTTGTCTCTGTACCACAGGATGACCGCCACGGCGTCCCCCAGCGGAGGTATGACGTCACACGGCAGTCGTAATGAGTCACCCACTCTTTGTTCCACGAACAACATTTCTCCTGAAAAAATTAGACGCAAGGTGATGACATTCTTCCAAACTACGTTTGCCTTGAACAGCATCTCTGCCGGAAATATTTGACATAGTGAGATGAAAGAATTTTTAACCACATTTGCATGTGAATCAAACGAAGAATTTCTCGTATTTGAATCGATTCGCGTCAAGGCTCTGTGCGATGCAAAGATTTTTCCCGTTCCAAAATGGTGCACACGCTTATTTATAAATTTAAAATTTTAAAATGCTAATTATTTTGAAACCTTTACGGCTTACATGATTTATCCCTTAAATGTCAGAGCCTAATTATGAAGCAAATGCATAATGTAGGCAATAAGTTTGTACTGTTTATTTATTCAAATTTCAAGTGTCAAGAAACAAAAATATGGGAATTGTCTAAAGTTTTGATCAATTCAGAACATTTTTAATTATTGCCTCAACAAAAGCCGTGGCGCAAAACGATTTTATTTCAATATGCAAATAAACGTGACGAAAGGAATCGTGTTGCACATTTCAGAACATTTTTTAAGCTTTTTCTAACAAGGCAACATTGCAGACTATATTATTTAATGGTGATATTATTGAGATCAAAAAGTGAACAGACGAATAATGGAAGCTCTATAACTCTCATAATGATTAGCTATTCGCAATCCGAAATCTGTGAACAAATTGATGGATTGAACAGGAATAATGGATTTCATGTTTTTGAATAGAATTAACCGAATGTATTTAGTTTTAGCTTCCGGCAAATATTTAATGATAATTTACCATGCAATAAAATCTCACTAAAATACCTCTCACAAAATTTTTACTGATTAATTGATCTGATGATAATTCTATGAGTATCACCTGAACTGTAACGTCGCGCTTTCGCTTGTTGCTCTTAGAATAATTATTTTACAGTATCTACGTTATTGAAATAGTGTCAAAGTGCTTGCTAACGAATCATACAATTAAGTTTTAATTATAATATAGTTAATTCACCATTTGTGGTACATTGCATCAATAAAAAAGCATAGCTGCAATATAAATTTACAAATACGCTAGTGAAAGCAAATTTTGGTGTACAGATAAAAAAAAAGAGGACAAATGATCCGCTTTAAAAAAATTTGTTGTAATAAATTGACGAGTAGCAAAATGAATCAAATTAAATCTTACAAATTGCCGAATGCATTAGCATGAAGAAAATAATTAACTTCGTTGAATTGAATGGCGGGATTTGAATTGATGGACCGATTGCGCAATGCGTGCAGTGAACCAAGTAGTTTTAAATCAAGAGCGATTCCATAAATTACGCCAATAATAATAACTTATATTAGCCAGAAAATGCAGAACTATCGTCTAAACTAATTGGACTCACAGTAGTACAAAGAATTTAAATTCTACGTAAAATTCATAATACTAACTCAAATGATCACAACCAGAGGTACTTCAACAGTATTAATAACTTATATCTACCCAACGCAAAATGCTAAAAAACTCAACGACCATCACACGACCATTGAAGTACTCAAGAAATATCCAAAAGTTCACATGCAACGCAAAGTTGTTCACACGCTGGGTGTAATTTTCATAATCACCGAGGAGTAATGCGTTTCGCCACCCTTGAAATAACTTGTTAAGGCCTTTGCATGCTAAAAAATAATTGGCTTCAGTAGAAGAGAACTCATTCTCGGCACGCCTACAGATGGCGGTTATTAGCTCGGTCATTACGATGATGAGCTTTTTGCTGCTATAAAGTTTGGGCTCGGAAAATCCTGCGAGGACCGCACAGGAATCCTTTGCGTATATGGAATATACATTAGTGTAATTTTTACAACACTTCTCTTTAACTTCACTTCTTGTTTGTCTGTCTGTTTGTCTGTCTGTCTGCTACAAATCTTGTAATCAAAATTTAATACACTTCTACTTATCCTATCGATCTGAAATTTTGCCAACTTGTGTAAAGTTGGAGACAATGCATGAATCAAATGTCAAAATAAATGATTTTAGAAATTAAAAAATTTTTTTTTTTCAATATTAAAAAAACTGAAAAAATAATTTCGTCAGCTACAAATCTTATAACTGATATTTGACACACTTTTACCTGTCTAATTGATCTGAAATTTTGCACACTGGTGTGAAATCAGAAGCAATACACGAATCAATTGACAGAATACATAATTTTGAAAAAAATGTATATATTAAAAAAATTTTATATATATTTAAAAAATTGAAAAGGTATTTTTTTTAATTTTCGAAAATTAGATGAGAAATTCATTGTACATCTGTAAGATTGGAGATACTGGATTCTTTGGAAGTGTTGTCTTTAAAAAGTAATTTTTAAACGTATATTATTTCCGTTTTGTTTATTTCCGTCTTGCATGCAAGATTTAATTGCTACTGTGTAAGAACTTAATTTGTTAAGGACATATTTAGGTGCTCCAGGAAGTGTTTAATGCGTGAAGTTTATTTCATTTGATCTAACTGATGAAATTCTGTAACAAAGCAAAGTTTAAATAATCCCTAAAAATTTATTGTCATTGCCAAGGAATGAAATTAAATTACGATCAATTACCCACCAAATTGCTTCTGAAGATACTGCTTTGCGTATGCTCACCTGTCAACATAATTTCTCCTATTATACATATTTCCCCATCCTATACATAATTTCCCATACTATATATATTTTCTCTCGCATATACATTTTCTCCTACCACAAATATTTTCTCATTTTATGCATATTTCTCTTACTTTACATATTTTCCCATAACGAACATAATTTCCCATACTATACATATTTTTTCCGTGATGAGGAAAGTTCGGCGTTTAGGCCGCCTCTCTATTACTCGCCCACATCTCCATCACCTCTATTTTCCCTGCTTCGACATATTATAAGGCCGATATAAGAACGTTGTCTCTTGCATACACGAGACACGAGCACGGGCGTGTCCGCAAGATAAGCTCCATTACAGCGTGGCAATTCACTTACTCAAAGTCTAGCGGACCCTGGGCGCACCTGCTTATGTTCCGCGCTGTTCTATACAATAATACGTACGTAGAATTCATTTACGTGTAATTAATAATTTAATGCACAGAATTTTAATTTATTGTCAGACTTGGCTGACTATTCGTTTCAAAATTAAGATGTAGCTAAGAAACCTTGTGCAGTCATTTCAAAGGCCAAATACAAAACAATGTAATTACAAAAACTACAATGCACAAAAATGAAAGGATTTCAAAACAGATACAAGCTTTAAAATTTAAGTTTGCGGTTGATTCTGGCCGCAGAAGTAAAGCCATGACGATCAATATTTATTAGATTGAGATTATTAATATCATGACTTGACAAAAATCCAAAACTCAAATCGTTTTTAGTCGTTGAATTTATACCCACAAACAGCTCCCAGGATAAACATATATTCGTGACTTCTTGGATCGCCTTTCTCAATTCCCGCTTAGCGACATCCTTATATGCTTTTGAATGTCATACTTTTAATTCATGAACTAGTGGGTACTGCTTTCGAGTGAAGAACTAGTTTGAGTTAAACTGCTCCGGCTTACACGCAATGTGATAAACTATCTTAAGCGCGACACGTTGCGGCACCGCATATACAATGGAACAGCATTGTATGCAAGATACCGATACTAAGCAGACATATTTTCCACCAACGTTGAAACGAATCTTAGATTTTGCCCCATGACTAAGATCATCATCAGATTTTGTCCCATGTATTAAGGCCTCTTGTTAAAATCGGCAGCAAATTGAAGTCTTATTAAGTAGAATAGAGAAACTCTGCTAAATATATGCTATCATCTCAATATATTTTCCCGTATTACAAAATTTCCGAAGCCATCAAATTTTAGGCATTAAAACATCAAAGTTGATTCAGTGACTATTATTTTTTTGAGTTCATAAGTGTTCAGCCAATGCTCGTTCGAAATTCTCCAATTTATATTATTCGTTTTCATCGTAATGCTGAGCGTTTGACCAGTTTGAAATTAGTAGCTTCTACTGTTTGATTTCGATTATATTATTATCATTTATTATCATTATATTATTTTATTTGACAGAAGTAAGGCATAGTAACCATCTTACACGTACAGGCATCTTCCATTTAAAATCTCTCATTACTAGCGGGCATAAGGATAGTGCACAGTAATTACTTGATTATTAATTCAATGGTCGTCAAGTTTAATCATGATTCTGCCACTCCAAACGTCTGAATCAGATTCAACCTTCCAATTAGAGCGGTCCCATCTCAATACAATTGTCAACAATTAAAGTTCGCATGGCAGGCACAAAGCCGCGTTGCTGTTTTGTTCTGTGCGATTAAAGTTGTGCGCTGGATGATTAGTTTTGCATAGGTGATCATAGTGAGCGTCAAGCACACTATTATGAACTTAGTTATGAACAAATTTTTTGGAGTAATTGTACCGATGTAACTGGAGAAATGAGCGCTATGAGTAAAATTAATGGATACTAAATGATCGCTTATCTTCATTGAGTGGCTATAATAATTCACACTTATACATGCATTATTATATACTAAGGATAGATAACAGCAGCTGTTGATTGCTCAAATAATACATTAGGGTAAACTGAGGAGTGCAGAGTCGATAAACTTCAATTTACTGAAGTTCCAATTTAAAGACTCGTGTTCCTCATTTATTGAAAGTTTGCTTAAATTTTTATACAAGTTTCGTTGTTCGCTCGTGAAAATTATAAATACAAATTTACAGAAAATCATTCAATTATATATAAAGATAATGTCCGTTACTTATTTTTTACCTTCTTGAAGTAACTATTTTTCATTATTAACGCCATCTATTTTTGAATGCGTAAAAAATTCTCACCTAAGCGGAGAAACTGAGAGACTTTTTTTATTTTTTTAAAGATGCAAATTCTCTGCTGCCTTCACAGTAATGTTATGTGCAGAAAACTTATATTTTACGAATAATTGTTGGTCGAATATGGACATACTTAGGATATAAGATCTT